AAAAAAAAAAAAAAAAAAAAAAAAAAAAAAACACAGTAAGAAAATCCCAACCCCAACAAAATAATATTTGGTTTATTGCAAACTCGGCTTTCTAGTCCTAAAAATGATTCACAAAAAGATTTAATAATCATAAATGACTTCAATGCCGATGCAAGATAATGCAACCTTACAATAAAATGAAGTTACAGCGAATATTGTACAAACAAGCCACAGCATCTTTTCCAAAGCTTTTAAAAATCAATGCCAATAAATCATCAGACTTCTGTAGCTTTCAAAAGAGTGAAATACATAAAATATTTTTGTGGACGTAAAAAACCTGTAAAAATCAAATTCCAGATTTCAACCAAAATATTTTAATTTTATAATTTACACGAACGATACAATCCAAATCGAGTGTAATTCACGGCTGTTGTGGTTCTTGAGGCTTCTCTTTATGTAATGAAAGCTGGTCGTAGGCTGGTGGTGGCGTATCATGTATTAATGGATAATCCATTGCTGCTGCTGGACTTTCAAGCGGAAGCTTCTTAGCAGGCAAAGGCTGCGCAAGTGTTGCTGGTATAACCACATGAGTTTGCTGCAATAAAACAGGATTGAAACACTTTTAAAAAAATACCATTTAAAATCTATACTGAAACTATGGATTGAAGCCAATTCGCCTTCCTTCAAATTCATCTCTTAAATACCTCTATTTTAACCAACACAATCGGCAGTGCTTAAGCTTGTTATAGTTCCAATGAAAAACGGCCCCGAAATCCAAAAGGCACCACCCGCTACATAATTTATAAGACGTTATGCAACAGTAACAACTGAACTTCAAAATATGGGAAGATACTACAGCAAAAAAAGAAATGCAAGCAAATTAAGCAAAACAATTACCCGAGCACGTAGTCGTTGTTGCATTTTAATCTGTCGAATTATTGCAAGTGATATGCCCAGCATTGACAACAAACACAACAGCAAAGCTATACAGATTAACCACTGACTAAGAATTGACATACGTCGTGCTCGTTGAGATAAGCGTTCAACGAAAGATGGCTGTAATAAAACTGTAAAGATTCTGTTCTCTCTAAATATGTTAATTATGGATTCAATTCTTCATTCTGAGTTCAAAAAATAATAGTAACAAAAGTTGCAATAACTAAAAAACTCTAATTTCAATTTTATGGCGAACATAGTAAACATCTTGAAAACACTGAGAATGAATGGTGAAAACCTGAACAAACCCACTTACCGGTCTTCGTGTTTTGGAAAGCTCATAATGGTCCGGATTCGTGTAAACACTGATCAGAACTTTCTGATGTTTCACTGGTTTTACGTTCAGAATCTCCTCGCTGCTACTATCTTTATTGCCAACCTCCGGCCCTACAAGTGCTTAGCGTAAAGAAACAACTCAAAAAAACTGTGTTAAAAACAGTCATAGCATCAGATTGAAATATTTTTTTATTTTTTATTTTCAGTACCAAAACCAAGACAAATAAACAAAACTTCACAGCAGGAAATGACAAATGAATTGCGGTAAACCATGGAAAAGAAACTCAACAAAAAAGTAGCTCAAAACTTGTAATAAATACCCTTCAAAGACGCAGCTATGTGCCCAGATGGTCTCTGGACAGCTACCTCTTGTTCCTCGTCCAAATTATTCTGCAACAAACGATAATTCCTTGGTATTTCAAAATGTCGAAGCATGCTTTCTTGGATAGCTCGCATTCTGTTTATCGCCTCTTCAATTTCCGAGAATTCAGGGCTAAAAATAAAGTTGCCTACACAACATTATGTGCGACTGCTGGAGTGAGCTAAAGTGAAAAGACCCAAGGAACCTTTCCTCAAAGCAAATAAAGCTTGAAATTAATCTCAATTTTTGATTTAATAAGTTGCAAAGCTAGCCAAAAACTAAATATAAATCATTATTAAAGAAACCACTCTCATTAAAGAATTAGCTATTACTAAGAAAGAAAACAAAAAAAATATTCACAAAGCCAAACTAAGTTAATAAAATAATATAGATATTAAAAACAACAGAGCAGCACCTCAAACGAGGGAAAGGCCAGAAGTTGTTAAATGAAGACCGCATTTTTCCCTCCATCTCCTTCTGAACGACCCCTATTATAGGGTCTTTTTCAGTCAAAGTTACCGTCTAAAAAATAAGAGAAAAACTTTAATACAGGAAAGATGATGTTGGTAAAAAGAAATTTCTGGAAAGATAACTCAAAACAAAAAAAAATTTCAAAAAAATACTTCTTTTCAAACCAACAGCTAAAAAACCAATAAACCAAGACAACTACTTTTAAAAAATCGAAAAAGATTTCACAATTTCAGTTTTTCAAGCAACAACTTACCCCAGACTCACGACCCCGCTGATTACTACAACCAAACTGGCAGGCTTCTTTCAAATTAACATCTTTCTCGTACGTCTCGACACAACCTTCACGACATTTTACCTGCATCTTATCTGTAAGCTCTAGCGGATGCAAAATAGTAAGAATAACTGCCAAACGGCATCCTTCTTTACATCCAAAATTATTCTGAAAAAAGTTCAGTCAGCGGAAAGTTATGATAGAAGAACAAATTTTTTCCAACTATATGGTGAAAAACGCAAGAAAAACATATGATCCTTTTAAAAATTATAGTGTCCAGTCATCAACTGAATTGCTTTACTTTAAAAAAAAATTACTTGTAGCATTAAATTAAGATGTCAAATATACATAAAAATCTAACCGTATTGTCGGTGAATCGATTGTCACACGCTCTGCGACACTCTTCTTGTGCAAAAATGCTACCCCAAAGTAGCATAAAACACAAAACAGGAATAATTCCCATAGTGATTCCTTCAAAAATTAGAACCCAAACCTTTCAAAGAACTGAATACGTGAGCAACCAATAAGAACGAAAACCAGACGCAAAGAATCCCACAAAAAAAGAAACGGGCACAAAAAATAATCAAAATCCTGAAAGTCCACATCACGGAAATTTATTTTAACCATCTCTCATAATAACCATAAAAATCTCAAAATATACTCTTCCGTGCGAAAAAATAAAATTCAAAGTAAAACGATGAAAATTACTTTCTGAAATGAAAGGTCAAACCAAAAATACCAAATAACGCTGAAATACAACGTCTCGTCAGTTATTTGTGGCAAATACCTTCAGCAAAAATTCCGAGCGCATTAAAAAATACACAACAAATGACATAACTTCCAGTCGCCCATGGAAATTTGGGACAAAAAAAACTAATAATTTCTGAATGATACGACGCCATATACACTCTTCACAAAAAAGAAAAAATCTCTTACAATCTTATCTGGTCTCCGAAGTTGACTGAATACTCCTGTCCGAAGAGCGAAGAACAAACTCCACATGAGAATCTTCAAACAACCCGTTCACCAAATTCAGTTTACATATTTGGTAAAAATGGCTACTACTTCCAGCACATTTTAACAATGACTCTACTCCCAACTGCATCAGAGCTTTAAAAAAAGACATCGAATAACATTATGAAAATACGCAACCTGAAGAATGAAAGCCAATCGGGCAGTACACACAAAATATCAAAAACTTTTCTCGCTCCACTTCACCTTGTCCAAATTGACTTCAAAAATTGAAAACTGATCGTTAAAAATAAGCATCCAAAAGTACTCTTAATTTTACTATAGTAAAAGATATAAACCCATAAAGAAGGCAACTGCGGCATAGTTAGCGTCCGTTCATAACATGTAAACGCGCGCTTTAATGCAGTGAAAACTCCTTTCAAAATAAGTTCACCAACTTAATGCCAATGCATATTAAAGACGGTGATTCCTTCAGAAAAAAAATTTAAGTAATGCAAACGGCGTACCGTCAAGCCGTTGTTACGAAGAAAAATCAAAGTAAAAAAAAATAGTGAGGTTATTATCTGTCGTTGTTTTTTCTTGAGGAAAGCTTGCTAAGAACATCTGCGTACACTTTCGTTTCCCTTTTTCTTTCACATATCCAACACAACTTTACTCTTCTCTTCGACAATTCATTTATTTCTTCACTATTACTTTTCAAGGCTGTGTCCTTTGCGACTTTTTCATTAGCACGAAAAATACGCTTTCGTTTCGGAATATTGCAGCAGAGTACTACAAATGAGCAAATCTGAACCTTTCAAGTAAATATTAAGTAAAGTAAAAACTGTACAGAAACTTCTAAAATTTCATATAGTGCACAAAGCGAAGTCAAAAATTCTACACCCGAAAAATGGCTGTGAGTGAAAGCAAAAAAGTAGCGTTTCAAAATGAGCACCACAATCTGGAATAGTCCTCAAATATGATACTTATGCCGTACTGAAGATTTTTTAGCTAAACAGTGTCACCCGTATGGCACCGATTCCCGACGCCATCATCACAAGACTACTCTGCATG